TTCCTTAATAATAAAATAATGTATACTTGAATTCAATTTCGCTTACAGTGATCCATCATAATAATGTAATTATTTTGTTTAGTAATGTAATTTCACGATACATACAAAATTAGAAATGCACATTAACATGAATAAAATNAAAATTTTATAATAACAAATAATAAGTATACATTGTATACAAAAATAATGTGGATTACTTCAATTGAAATAATGAACATTTGAGTATCTGGTACGGTATTGTCATCGAGTAACAACATATTATTACACAAAGTTCTTCAATTACAAAATTTCTGCTGTATTTAAGATCAAAAATATTTCAAAAAGTGGCATTATTATACATATATTGACAAATTGCTTTAAAGAAATAGCTTCAAATTTGAGAACTTATATTTCGTTAATAAAACCGTACGAAATCCGTTGGAACAAGTTTCAGCCAAGATCATTCAGTACGACTTAATGTAGTATTTTCTCAAAAGCTGAGTTCGGTTGACGGCACGTGTAATGCCGAACATCTATAAATAGGATTTTACAAAACGCCGGCAATCTAATATTATCATTATATGTATAGTGAATACATTGGTGTTTCACAGTGAACAACTTCTCGTATAAAATCAAAATATTACTGTGAACAAAAATGCAACAATTAACATTTAGTAACGTTATTTCATTTGGAAACAATGACGACTCCATCTCTTCCATTGCTACGTGATTTCTTATAATTCCAATTAAATATTTAGAGACACTTTTCAAATATGCACACCACATAAAAATTATATTTCGCATTTTTAATCTGTTTAAATCGTTACATTAGATGATCACTTCATTCTAGACTATCAGTCGGTTTTCAAACTGAAAATCATTTCATGCAAGCATCATACTATTATTTATACCATCTATAGTAGTTTAACCCCTTGTTCTACGATTTCTTTTATAGCTGCGTTGATTAGCACTTCGTGGTGCTTAATAATTTCCCTAATGGAACGAGACTATTTTTCTTTCTTGTATGTTTCTTTCTTCGTGTTTACTTTCATTCAAAAATTTTATTGGTACTAAAATCATATTTTCTTTCGATTTAAAAGAAATGTATAACATTCTCGTTGTTATAGTGCGATCTTCTTGAGACTTTGATTATCATCAACCTGAGACGCTTTACTGCTTAACTATATTAAATTACAAAATGTTCAGAAACATTAATACCTCATACTATTTCACTCTAATAAGTATTTATTTTCGTTTTCATTCATGCCTTCAAATATACGGTTCATTTAACAAATAAAATACTGTTAATACATATGTTAGGTTTTACATAGTTTCTAAATTCTTAAGAAACATTGTGTAAAACAATAATACATGGTTTTCAGGCCTTCAATATCAGCATTGCATAAAAAAGAAATTGTACAAAGTGGAAAATAATACTTGCTTTTTTTTAAATTATAAATAAGTTATTCACTTTTTGTCATA